ATGTAAATTGGGACTGGAGCAGTCAAGATCAGCATGAATCTATCAGTGATTTCTGCATTTTCACGAAAACTTCCATTATGATCAATGACAAAATTTACACTGCTCAACGAGTCTCTTATTTACATTGTGTTTTCACTGTGTAAGTTCTGATGGTAGTATTGGTGAGATTGCAGGAGATCATTGTGTGACAGTAGACATGACTTTGTCCGGCTACAGTGCAGTGCTGCAACCGGAGTAGTTCTAAATAAAATGCTTTAATCAACACTTTTCAGGATTAGTTAATCTTGGCGGCTGTTATAGTACAAATGCAGTAAAAGTTTTCGAGAGTTTGCATGCTCATATCATATGCAAAGATGTTAGTCAATCATAGCAGTGGGCATTTATATTGAAGTCTCACAGCAGACACGGCCCTTCCAATGGAGCGCTCAAATCAGAGAGCTAAATCCAGGGTGGAAAATGACCATTTATGTCTAAATTATGACCTCAGGAAACATTATAAAATTTAAATAATGTATTTCATGACCCCTTTAAGACATTGCACAACTTAATAAAGTGTAGGCTTATTCTCTGTTTTAGAACTGTTCAAATGTTGTAATTTCTAAATATTTCAAGTTTTTTGTCAACTTTTTGTCTCATCCTTTTGCAAGTCATGTAGGCGTATGTGAGACTGATTGTAATCAGCTAGCCTTCAGGCTTACATTACAAAGTCTAAGAACTTCTGAGAACTATTTAATCAGATAGTAACTTCTAATAACTCGCACACTTTTAGTTGCTTCCTTGGTGTGGTAGGCGCCTCACAGCTTTATGTTAAAAGGGCATTAAAATGTGCTGATTAAATGAAGTAGATAATTTTCAGAGTAAATGAGAATAAAAAGAAAGGAGGAATTTTTGTTTTAGTTGTCATAATATAGCCTTAATATTTTCACTCTGCACTCTGCTCATCCGGCACTACTTTAATTCTTTCATATCACACCAGGGATTCGCTCAGTCTCATTTTACAAAAGTGCAACTGGCTTATCAATTGTGCAATGAAAGAAAAAAAAAAATCAGTAGAAAAACGGAAAAGGTACTGGTAATTTTCTGCCACAACATTACGGACATTTCCCTGAAACCCTAAACACAACGCAATATAATGCAAAAGTCCAAATACGGGGAAAACACCTGTGAAAAATCAATATGGAAAATTCCTTAATATTACCCATACATTAAACCCTATTTTAATGACTTTTGTAGAATGTAGCCTAGTGACAGTGACCTCAAGAGGAAGTCAGTATATTACCATAATGTTGTTGCAGTGCTCATCTTGTTGCTAGACTGATTGATATGTACATTGTAATGAACTATTTGGTTCTGCATAGTGGTTCTTTTGCGATATAACTGACAATCATCTGGCACTGATAGGCCTACTCTATGTGAGAGCTTGGGCTTTCTCAACCTTTGTATCTAAAGGCCATATCTACTTTCCCCCAGTGATGCAGGTGTTGCAGAAGGAGTCCTGGCCAGCACCAGTGCTCTACACTGTCATAAGAGCAATTCCCGTGATGCGCTGGAAGGAATTTTTGCGACTGCTTTCTGTGTCAGATGATCAGATGGAACGGATCGAACTGGAGGCAGGCCCATCCTATCTGGAAAAGCAGTATCATATGCTACGTCTGTGGAGCCAGAGCAGTGGAGCGAAGATGGAGAATATCTACTCAACATTACACTACATGAACCTGTCAGGCTGTGCCCAGGAACTGCAAGAGAAGCTAGAACAATTGCAAACAAGCATGTAAAACTGACTCATCTTCACTCCATCTCCTCATGTGTGCGAGCTGCAGTTGCATTTCAAAATCATTTCCAAGGAACTCTGAACAGAAGACGCTCTGTCAACCCTCAGTCATGGTTAAAAATATTCTTTGTGAATTGTTTTATTTAAGCATAATGTAAAAGTAATGCAGATTATTATGCATATCATAGGTGCTTTGTAATAATTTATTACAATTCTTGTTCTTGGTTATATGAATCAGCCTTGTCACTATACTTGTACAAATGTGAATATTTAAAGAATAATTTACCAATTCAAAGTTTGAACTTTGTTTCAATTTTAGCATCCATCAACTACACTCTTAAAAATAAAGGTGCTTCACGATGCCATAGAATGGTTAAAATGGTTCCATAAAGAACCTTTAACATCTGAAGAATTTTTCTGTTTCACAAAAGGTTCTTTGTGGCAAAAGAAGGTTCTTCAGATTATAAAAAAGTAAGAAAGAGATTGACTGAATGTTTCTTTGTGGAACCAAAAATGGTTCTTCTGTGGCATCGCTGTGAAGAACCTTTTAAGCACCTTTATTTTTAAGAGTGTAGTGGTTTTCAGGATAAACTTAGCTGCTTACTTGTGTATTATAAGTTCTCAGTCATATTGTACATGTGTGAAGTATTACTTTATACTCACTTTGTCACACCAGTATACATTTGTTACTTTTCTTAATAAAAACATAATAAATGTGTGGAATATGTCTGGCTCAGATCTTGACAGCAACATGTAGTTATAAAATGGAAAGTGTGACAGAGAAAGTATCCATGCTGTGCAGACAGAGAAAAGTTCTGACATTAAGTTTAGGTAATGTCAGCAAACAGTTGCTGTGGCCTCTGAACTATGCAGAAGGAAATTCCCCTTTCATCTGGTTCCCCCAGGTTCATATGACTTCTGCATAAACCACAGTGAAGATCAAAAGCAGTTTCACTTTTTTATTTCATTTTTCCAGGCATGTATATAACCATAACCTATTTGCTAGGCTGCATATTGTCAGTTCGAAGACACATAGGCCTGCATACTCCCACTGCCAAATATTATTTGCTAATTTTGATACTTTAAATCTTCCAGTCCAGAAATACCCATTCAAACAGGGAAAACTAATATAGTGATATCTGCTAAATGAAATTTAGGCCTAAGCTTAAATTAGTTTTATATTAGACTATATTTGACGTTATGTTTTATTATTGCTTGACTGTATTTTTGTCCAGTCCTCTTTAACTTTATTTAAAAGTAGGCTATAGGCCTACATTTGAAAAATAATCTGTGGACATTATAGATCACTTAGAGGGACACTTTCAGTAAACAACATGAATAAAAGCAACATTACCGAGAGAACGCCACTGCATAATAAGAAACTATCTTTTAATAACGTGTAACGTTTTTTTTTTTTCAAAACATTTAAAAACTAGGTCTATATAAAACATTCTCTGGGTTTTCGGAAATAACGTGTTTCTAACATAATGGTGAGGGGGAAAAAACGTTTGGAAAATGTTCTTAGAACACAACATTGTTAGGCGAGTTAGTCGTTTCCATAGCAACCAGTGAACACATGCTGCGTGAAGCGAATGTTTGCCTAGAGCCGAAGTTTTTGGAATTTGGATGTAACAAAGTCCCTCAACAGGTGACTGAATAAAGACCATTGCGACTTTGTTACATTTTTTCTTTTAGACGAGTTTTGAATTAAGACCGACGCGCTGTGTAACTTAGACATAAATAATTATTAGTATTTTTACGAGAGAACAAGCAAACATCTGGCCAGACCTATAAATTCGTCGTTGTTCCTAATATTATCTCCTTAACGCCTTAAATGTTGTCTTTTCTCGATGTTAAAGTGTTTTCTTTTATGTTTCGTCTTCCTATCGTCTTTCACTTATGGGGTCGGCATATTGAGTTTCGGCAGGAGCTTCTTTTTAGGGACTAAACTTTTCTTTAACCAGACAGCCGCATCTTTTGACAGCTGTTTTTGAGTAAAGAGTAGAAACATTCATCTGTGGTTCATCTAAATAGTGTTTAATATGCGGTACATCTCAGAACACAATGTTTAACTCGTTTAAGGCAGAAGTCCACCGAAAGTGCGTGGACTGCACCCTCAAACTACAGACACAGACAGGTGAGTAAACCATCATTAAGAGGTGTGAACGGTCTCATGTATTATTGGACGATATAATGTCGTGCTCTACATTATATCATATACATTATATATGAAAATTGTAATGTGTTTTAAATTGGTGTCTGCAGGACAGGTTCTGCCATTTATCTGCCACGGACTGCTGTTTCAACTAGTGCTTGTATTTAATTACTTAAAAATAACCCAACACTGACTAGTATCTTTTTTTTTCTTCTTTTTAAAAAAATAATTATTCATTAGATAACCTACTACTTACTTCTAACAGCGACTAGTATCTGTTCATTTAATCACTAATGCTAATTTACTGGATACTAGTAGCCTACCTATTAATTTGCTGCTAGTCCCTATCCAAACAGTGACAGGAAACTAGTAACAGTTTTACTCCACCAGTAAGATTATACCAAAAGGAAAGTGTTTAAGAAATGTTACTTATGTAACAGATACTAGTAATATTGATTAAAAATAACTAGGATCTAAGTAATAAATAGCTAATAATTCATTTTATTTATGGGCACCTTTCAAGACACTCAAGGATACCTATAATAAAATACATAAACAATAAATGAAAAGAAAACAATGCACAATAATACACAAAACTATATCAATCAGAATAAGCTAATCTAAAAAAAAAGTAGTTTTAAGACAGTTTAAAAAATAGTTATAAGTACTAGCAATGCTGGAATAGCTACTTGCTAGGAAAAAAGTACATAATGATTAGTTACTAGTACAAATAGACTGACTAATAGGGACCCTACTACGCATTATTCTAATAAGTACTAGTGTCTACTGAATAGTTACTGGTAAAATAGAACAATAAACTAATCACTCGACTTTGAAAATAAACTAGTAACATTAAAAAAGATACTAGTTAGTTTAAAGGAAGAAATACTTAAACAGCTTGCTACATAGTGTCATTTATTTATGCAATTTATATTTAACACAGTCATTGCATGTTATTAAGAGCAAGAGATAGATTGTTTTTTAATGATGTGGTTTCCAATTCTTTTAAAGGTTGCTGAGGACCCTTGTGAAGGAAATGTTATCCAAATCTAAATAGCATTACACAGAAGGGAGATGAATGGCATACATAAAGGAGCAGCTGAACTGTGCAGAGAGGGCGACAAAACATTGCTCTCTGGGGATGCTGGCAGAGCTGCAGCTCTATACACACATGCTTTTGGAAATAATGCCGGTTCCACTGTAGGACACATGCGTGGCCTTAGCGCAGGTCATTTAGAGGAGGTGATCTCAACGCTGGAGGCCTGGCTTGATGGCGTTTCACACAATTCTATTGAGGGCCTGAGTAAAGGCCTTGTCGCTGTATTTCTGTCTACATTATGCCCCAATAATGTATCTGCTTCTCTTTATAAAATGGAGTCTGTCCTGCAGGGTACAGGTCATGCTTCAAAAGAGATCTTTGCACGGTGTTCTGCTCTTCTAGAGGGAAAACAAATGCCTCAACCTGAGGGTCGCACACGGTTAATTCTGGAGCTAACTAGAGCTCTGGCCTGCTTGCTTTCTGACGCACAAAATCCCAAAGTTCCTCAGCTTTATCTGCAGGCCTTTCATGGAAATAAATCAGAAACTATTAGACTAGTTAAAGAAAGGCACACTCAATATGTGAAGCTATTAATTAAAGCCTTTTACCAGCAAATGTCTCCAAGATATTCCACTCTCCATACTAAGGGGCAGATGGAAAAAGCATTGAGTCCTACACAAGCAGGTGAAGACATTGATGCTCCTAAAGCTGTTGAGTTTTTACTTGCCATTTCACCAGATGACATCCAAGTAAGAGAGCTTCAAGCAGCAGTCTTGTTTTCTTCCGGAAAGTTCACAGAAAGTGCAGAAGCTTTGTCATTGGCTCTTAAACTAGATGAATCACAGACTGAACATGCAATGGCGCCAGAGAAAAGAGCTTGTTTACTTGTGGGCAGAGCAGCTGCTCATTTTTCCGCAGGAGGACGAGCAAGAGAAGTCTGCAAAGATCTAGGTGATGGCTTTGCACTTCATCCAGCCACAGCAAGACAGCAATTCCAGAGTCTTTTCTCGGACACTGGCGTAGGGTTGGCTGCTCGCATCCAGCTGCGTCAACAAGCCGAGAAGGGCGTCTCAGAGTTCAGAGAGGCCGTTCTAATGAGGCCTGACCTTAGGTCTTCGAAAGGAGTGGAGTTGTTGGATCCCGTTATCGCTCAACTGCGAGCTCTATGCCACCTGAAGTCGGACGGAGGAGGCAGGGAACTGCGTGTGCGTCTGGCAGACTGCCTCCTCCTGCGTGGAGAACATAGAGAAGCCCTTTCCATAAGTAGCCAGCTCGCCGCTGCAGCTCCAGCCCAGCAGAGCTACCAGAACACCGTGCAAGTGCTCCGAGGGTATTCCCGACTCTTCACTGAAGACCATAAAGGTGCTCTGGAGGATTTCCAAGCGGTGATTGAGCATAGTACTCCTCACCCACCCAGCTGTGTCCGTGCACTCTGTGGTAGGGGTATCCTACGTATGATGGCTGGCTCACACTACCTTACTGCTCTAGATTACATTACAGCAAGCCAATTACAGCTGCAGGATGCTTCTTTAACTGTTAGGTGCCTGGTGCCTTGGAATTACCGTGGGTTGCTGTGCACCGTGTTGCTGGAACAGGGAAGAGTCATGCTTGAGGGGACCGAAGAGCAAAGAGCTGAGACAAATCCTAGAGCTCAACAAGAGCATGAGGAGGGTAACACCAACAACAAACAGAGGTACATTTGCGTTTTTTCTCATTTGGGATGAAACTTATTTGTCGTGCTGTATCTTTCATTTTGTCTTTTGTGTCTTATTTAGGGATGCGCACTATATCGGTACCATCATGGATTACACTCTTTAACCCTTGTGCGTCACTTAAAAAAAGTTACACATAGGTCCATAGTGGACAAAAATGTCCATGTCAAAAAACTGTCACAAAAATTTGAAGCTTGAGAGCACAGAGGTAAGTTCGGTCTCATTTTAAAGAAGACCCATGGCAGATTATTGTTGAAGTAAAAAAAAAGTTTAAAGTGAAACCAAAAAAAAATTCTAGATATTTAGGTTTATGAAAATTATTTATGAACAATGTTTTATATAAAATATATATTTTATGAAACATGTTGAACTCTATACCTGCTAGAAAATCAAAGCCATAAATCTAAACAAGTTGTGTTCCAAATTTGAGGTTGATATCTCAAAAAATGAGCTTTCAGTAAGATTTTGTTTGGGCGCAGTACCAAATTTTCCCCATTAGATGCCAGCAAAACTCCGCTGGTGCACACAGTGGTTGGATTTGTGATTTGTAGTAGAGTTTTTCTCGCTCAAATTTTACAAGAACACACACGCACACACACAATTTTTTTTTAT